GGACATTATGCTAAGCTAGACCCGTTTACTACGATAGAGTATCGCAAAACAACGAAAATAACACGTCGTTTAGCGCACTGCGCTACGTACTTCTGTTGAATTTTCGCATCTCCGTAATCAGAATAAGCCTCGCCTTCTTCGTTGATGGACATGAATGGGGCTGTGTTTACTTTTTGTAAATAAGGAAATGCCCGGCCGATGCTAGACTGGTACCCGTTCGCCACCTTCACTCCGGCAAGTATCCTTCGCTACACTGACGCTGTTAGTGTAGCGTGTGGAACTGTCGACCGGGTACCAGTCTAGGCCGATGCTAAACTGCATGCAGTGCACCTTCGTACACTTAGGATACTCGTAGATTGAGCCCATAAGCGAGTCTGTCGTGTCATCCTGTCGGCTTATCTGTCGTGGAGTTTGGGCCGATGCGATGCATTTTCTGCGTTTTCTGCGTGATTATTATTTTGCGCAGGCACTCATTTTCGAAATTCTCCAACATTTTTACTTCTTCCATCAAGTCCATGTTTCACTGTTATTTAGGAAGGAAGGTAAAACTGTGCATTCGTATAATTTCACTCTTGCTTCTATAGTATGATTTCCATAATTTTGCTCTTCTGCCCATGAAAATATTTCCCTCATAATGAACCTACATTTTTCAGTTCGGACTCTCATCATATCGTTATAACCTCCTATATCATTAATTAAATCCCCTAGGTATGAATATTTGGTGCATTTTTTGATTAATTGGTTGCCTATTAATATCTCCTTCTCTATCCTTTCTTTGTTGGTGAATTTTATAACCATTGTATTTGTTTTGTTCATATTAAATTCTAATCTTTTTGATTCAGCTAATCTGGAGCATGACTGAGCGATGTTTGTTACTGTTTTATAATCTCCAATTCCTAGAATATCGTCCATATATAATCATTGTCATCTTCTAAAACTACAGACCATCCGCTGACCGCTGTGGAGACGTGCGCCGGGTCTCGAATTTGGCGCACGTCTCCACTGCGGACAGCGCTTCATACTTGAACATCTCCGCTGTCGCGTGCGCATATCCCGCGGAACTGCGCGTCTCATCCGCGCGCAGCGCTTAGGATCAACAGCAAAGCTGTGCCACGCAATCTTGTATCATCATGTCTCTCTGGTCACCGACACAGACGGTGAGCGGTATTTTTTCGACAGCGACATTACAGTGAACTCTGTAGGTTTGTAGTTTCACTGGGAGTTTCCAGTCGAGAATTCTGTACTACTACTCGCCCACATAGACTTGATCACCAACACTCGCTGTGAGCGATATTACAGCGACAGCGACATTATAGTGAACTCTGTAGGTTTGTAGTTTCCCTGCAAGCAACACCGCGTGTTAAACGCCTGACATGACAGCAGATATAAACCGTTCGATTTAATGCGCGTCTGAGGATATAGTATCAGTTGATAATATACGACCGATCTATAGGTGCAGAACAAGAGGTAACGTTTCCGCGTAAGGTCTGTAGATGCAGCTTTGTACAATGACGTGTTCGCGGAATCGAGCGTAGTATCGTTTAGATTTTCTAGGCACTGACATTTGCACGGTTTTCCTAATCCAGGCACGCCATTTGTTCGGTGTGTATGAGGTGCATTTATCAAACTAGACGCTGAAAATGATCGCCGGAGGTTTCAGTGTTACCGGAGAAATAGGTATTGTCGAGCGAGTGAAGGTTATTTATGCATGATCGGTAAGCTGTACTGGCCCGGATGCGGAATTTTTTTCTCCCAAACGGTATAACATAGGAAGGATTTAGGCGCCTTCTGATTGGCTGGAATTTGGCAAGATGTCAGCCTCCATGACTTGTTGCCAAAATTCCCAATTATCTACCAAAAACTTTCCCGAACTTTCTGTAAGTTAGGTTAAAGTAGTTTTTAGTATGTTTTCTTTAAAACAACATGGGTTTGAGTGAATTAACCCAAATATCATGCCGTTTCTTGACTGATTTGCTTTGACTGAAGAAAACCTTCAAGACAAGAGAACAAACGCCGTTTGTAAATGTTTGTTTTGGTTTATGACCGCTAGATAAGTATAAGTTTTCTGATGTATTTTCTATGAAAGACACATATTTTACTCATTATTATAACATATAATATTACTATAATTGCAATTATTTGTGCAAATGTGTTATTTTCATCTTAATCTTAAGTTATGAGAGAGTCTAGGCTTATACTTATACTTATAGCTGCCGAGTTTCTGTTTATGTTCGTGCTGACGCTCAGGAGGTTAAACACTAGGCTACTAGCTACGACTACTACCGCTACTTAGTAATCTACTACTATGCGTCAACGCAGTACGAGTACGTATTGCTCTAGTACGTCGTAGCCCTAGTACTAATAGAACCGTCGTAGTTCTAGTAGTACTGGTCGTAGCCCTTCGCTCCTTCCTCTGCGACGAAGCACTACGAGTGCGTGTACATACGTACGTATGTAATATTACGAGAGCCCAGACCTTCTTACATAACTAAAGATTAAGATGAAAATAACACATTTGCACAAATAATTGCAATTATAGTAATATTATATGTTATAATAATGAGTAAAATATGTGTCTTTCATGGAAAATACATCAGAAGACTTATAGTACTTATCTAGCGGTCATAAACCCAACAAACATTTACAAATGGGCGTTTGTTCTCTTGTCAAAGGCAAAGCAAATCGAAGCAGCCAATCAGAAGGCGCTAAATTCTTCGCTATGTTATAGAGTACCGAAGTGTGACGTCACGTTGTCAAGACAACGTACGGGCTGGTTCTACACAAACCACTGGCTCCATAACATTAACTGCGTGAAAATGTTGTGCGTACGTAAAACACGAGTGTGCGCTGCAGACAGCGGTAAAGCATCGGTAGCAAGTCGATCTTACAATATTTAATGAATTAAAAAAAAATTGTGTGTAAATTATTTTTTGTTAATTTATTTTTATTTTTTTCGTTGCTTTTCACTTCCATCCTTTGGAAATCTATAAAAACTGCAATAATAACTCTCAGAATGATGGTTACAATCGGGTACAAAACACGACACGCAGTTAATGTTACCAGAGCATATGATTGTGTAGAACCAGTAGGTTCGTTGTCATGCCACCGTGACGTCATCACTTCAGTACTCTATACCGTTTGGGAAAAAAAATTTCGCGGCCCGGATAGCTATCACATCTCTAGCTATCGTATACCGAGCTATCAAAGTTGGTGAAAAAGTACTAGTGGTAATCATATACCCAGCCTTTGATGAGAAATATTGATGGCCATTTATGAGACTATAGCAAATACCCTGTCGTTGTAGTCACCCCTTTTTTTTTATCTATTTTCCCGTCGTTTCGCGTCTCACATATAAAATCTTAGATGTGTTTAATCGCTAATTAATGTGTTAGATGCGCTATCGCTGTTAACGTTATTAGAATGTAAATATTATAGTGCGCGAGCAGCGACCAGGCGGTCGCACATATCGGTTACCATCACGTTATATTATTAGATCATATCAGGAGTCTATCAATGATATCAGGAGTCTACTATTGATAGACTCCTGATCATATTTTATAGATAGCATGATTTTTTTCTGCTTTATGTTTGCACTATGTGTTTTTCACGATGTACGAAATCGGATTGACGTTACGTTGGATTGACACGATGTTTTGTTATCATGTATTCTAAAATCATAAACGATAAGTGTATATATATATATATATATATATATATAGATGTGGTGTGTTGTTGTGTGTGTGTGTGTGTGTGTGTGTGTGTGTGTGTGTGTGTGTGTGTGTGTGTGTGTGTGTGTATGTGCGCGCGCGTGTTTGTCGTAAGTATAAGATGCACATACACGTCAGAGAAAACAAATAATTATAACAACAGATTTACATGTAAAAAATACTGGTTTGCGTTTACTCCAATTTTAAACGACAATAATTGAGAACATCAGACTGTTGCCTGAGTACAAACAAACACTGGTGACGCTGTGCTCGTTAACATTACATAGGAAACACGAAAATATGAGTCCTATTCAGACATATGAAGCCCTAATATCACCATTGCTCTTGAACAGGTTAAATGTAAATTCAACTTTGTTTAAATTCTCCGTCGCATTTCAGAATGTAAGAAAAACGACGAAACGTTTGGTTTGAGAATACTACAAAGAAGGATGCTTTTTAATGTGAATCGAGGAAGAGACATATGAAGCGAGTGAGAAAGATAGTTTACAACTTTCCCTTGTACTGGAAGTCGATGGTCTTGATGTGGCTTACTAGCCACTCCTTGGCCCAGTTGATTCCCTCGTCGTTCACTGGGCAGGTGACAGCGCCCAGCTTGGCAATGAACTCCTCGTGGATCTTCTTGTGAGAGTCGTAGTTCCCGTACTTCGCAGCAATCATCATGCCCTGCGAACCAACAATACGTTCGTACAGTTAATACGTCGCAATCATAATTAAAACAACTAATAATGTCTACGTTAGATTTACGCGTATACGATTTTAATAAATGAAAGCCGTTCGCGCTCACTATAATGTTCGGAATTCGGATCATCATGGACACAATTACTACGTTCGATTATGGCTGTGGGGTTTACAGATCAGCAACGCATGCGTACACTCGTCGAAACGTCGGTAACGTTGCTACGATTAAACTACGGTGAATGTATAAGTACATGGATACACACAGCATAATACAGAGCGCATATTGTGGGAACATCGCGGTAGATGTTGTTTTTGGGAGGAGGGTGGGGGGGAGGTTTCTACCCACCTCTTCGAACTTGAAGTGAGCGCCAATGAGACCCTGCAGCGACTTCAGCTTGGCAGCGTTGCTACGGTCGCCGGCAACCTCGAAGATGCCCTTGAAGAGACCCTTGTGCTCATCATCAATCTGCTCGTACTATAGACAACAGCGAAATAATACAACGTCAATAATAGGTGAAAGAGAGTAGAGAAACATTAAGACTTTGGTAGTAAATAGATTTCGTATTTATTTAGCATTATATTTTATTGAAACGCTCCAAGTGCCTGTGGTCGGTCTGTCTGTCTGGCTGTCTGTGCGTGTGTCTCTCTATCGCTCTATTTTCTCTCCTCTCTCAAGCACAAGCGCGTACACACACAACATATTACATGACGGACCGGCATATTAGAAGATACGTTGTGTTTTCATATTACGAGAAGGAGTCTTTCAAGTGCTAATTCAATTAGACTATTGCGAGACTAATCTCTAAATGTGTTTCTACATTAAACAAACAAAAGTAAATAGTATATTTCTATACTTACGAAAACCTTGAAGCTTTCGTCCCAGCAGTATGGCTCTGGAATCTCGAAACCCATGGTGCCTGTCGGAGTTGTGGTGAGACTGATTCTTCAGGAACGGTTCTTCCAATTGCCTGATGATTTCGGTGCTCTCTACCGCTTACGTACCGTCTTTTATACAAGATTATTCCGGTCGTACCAAAAATTCTATAGGGGTGTCCCGAGAATACGCGAGGGCTCTCTCATGTCTGTCATCTCTCTCAAGCTCTGGCTCCACGCTGCTATGACAACCATTGTTCATAAAAGTGTCGTCAGATTTTTTCCCACGTCGATGTTAGGTTGCGATGCGCTCTAATCGGCGGTCACGTGACCGTCATCGGCGCAGGCGACGTCGCCTCACCCCCGGCGGCGGGGTTGGTCGATCTGAGACGTGGTATACGTGATCAGCTGCGCGTCGGAAAAATGTCCGTAGGAGAAAAACTGAAAAAAAGTCGCGCTAACGCAAACACGCCGCCTCCAGGCCCGAGCAGTTCGTCACGTACGCACGTGAAATATACACCCCGTCGCCACTATTTATGTGCTTCTCCGGACGTACGAGCGGAGTTTGGGTTAATTTCGTTATATCAAAACCGCGCCGCGCTATGTGTGAACGTACGCTTGCATTCGTTTCAATCTGACATCTGCCCGGCTGGCGTTTAGGGGGGTGCGAAGGGGAAGGCCGCCTAGGCTCGTGCTGTGCGTTAGGGATCAGTGGTTTAATTGCGTGTATTTAGTATTTCGGGGACGCGCGTAAGATTTCGAATCGTACGGTCGGCGGCAACAGCGTGGGGTGTATGCGAGCGTACATTCGTACGGGCATGTGTGTGCGGGCGTGTGCGTACTGCTAGGCTGTGGCGTGCGTGTTACGTATTGTCGGGTTGTGCCGAGGCTGTTTTGATGTGAATGCATGAGTTCCGTGCGTGAGCGCGTGCATGTGTGCGTGCGCGCGGGTGGGCGGGTGCACCGGTGAATGAATATATGCGTACAGCTGTGTAAGCGCAAGTGTATGTGCGTTCGTGCGTGCTGTGCGTGCGTGCGTGCGTTCGTGCATTCGTGCATGTTTACGCCTATGTGCGTGTATATATGCGTACGAATGTGCGTGCGTATGTGCGTGCGTGCACATATATCGTATATGATGCGCACGTCAAGTACGCTGCCATTAAATGTGCAAGCGTGCGTATGTAATGGATTTTATATGTTGCGCGTACTGTGTGTGTGATGATGTGTGTGTGTGTTGTGATGTGTGTGATGTGTTGTGTGTCGTGTGTGTGTGCGCTGTGTGTTATTTCCGTATGCATTGCATAAAGTCGTGATGTGTGTGTGTTTCCGTATGCAACAATAATGTGTGTGTGGGGACGTCTGTGTTAGTATGCATACATAAGTTCGTGTGCGTGCGGGGGTCTGCGTAGTGCGGTGGTGCGATGCGTGTGACTCGTCGCGTGCGTCGGTCGCGTGCATGTCATGCTCATTGAGCGTATATATGGAGTGCTACGGCGTCAGCGTTCTTTTTTTGCGCCTCGTAGCATAGTCTAGGCGAATGAGTTCATTGCTTTCGCCTATGCAATATTATCAACAATATACTCTGGACACCCCATTATTGTACGTGCGCAAATTTACGTGCAGGCGTCATTTTCGTTACGCCATGCTGTAAACGAGAGCGACGCTGGCTTTTGGTTGCACATATTTAGTAAACAGTTTGCAAAGACCTCCGGTCTGCATTATTCTGATGTGGTGGGTACTTTTGTATTTTAAGGGTTGGTGAATATAACCGGAGTGTTCTGGGTACCTTTTCAGCAGCTTTTTCGCATTCTTTACCCCTTAGTCGTTACGATAGTCTTTGCGTTTCGTCTGCGTAGGTCTCACTTTCTTATTACGATAATGAATGTTTTATTTGTTGCATTCATTTCTTTGCTCTGGTGTTAAGAAATGAGTCGGCAGACACAGCAGCTCAGCTGATTCGCGAACGCCACGTTCTAGCGGTCACGTTCCCCACCGGCCGGTTGTTCTCGAGCTCACTGCTGCTACTGCAGTGTGCTTTCTTGCTGTTGTTGTTGTTGTTGCTAGCTTGGCTGCGCTGACTGCTGCTGTTGTTGTTGGTTGTTGTTGTTTCTGCTGCTGTTGGTTGTTTGCTTGCTGCTGGCTGTTGTGCTTGCTCCTTCTTGCTTGCTGCTGTGCCTTGGCTGATGCTGATACTGCTGCTGCTATGCTGCCCTGTGTGTTGTTGTTGCTGCTGCTGCTGTTAGTTGTTGCTGCTGCTGCTGTTTTGTTGTTGTTGCTGTGTCCTGGCTACTACTGCTTGCTATGTTGTTGTTGCTGCCTGCGTCCTTTCTGCTTGTTTGTTATTGTCTGCTGCTGTCCTTCTGCTGCTGCTTGCTGCCTGCTGCTCCTTCTGCTGTTAGGATGCTTGCTGCTGATGCTGCTGCTGTTTTTGCTAACTGTTTACCGATTACTGCTACGCTTGCTGCTGTTGCTGTTTGTTGTTGTTGTTGCTGCTGCTGCTGTTGTTGTTGTTGCTGCTGTTGTTGTTGTTGCTGCTGCTGCTGCTGCTACTACTGCTGCTGTTGTTGTTGCTGCTGTTGCTCCTTCTGCTGCTGCTGCTGCTGCTGCTACTACTGTTAATATCGATACTGCTACTGCTGCTGCTGTAAATACCGTTGCTGCTACTGCTGCTACCTTGAATGGACCTTTATTGCTGGGGTTTTATTGCTGTCGCTCGAGACGAGACTGGAATCGTGAGTCACCGACGACCGCAAGCGCTCAACCCGTTCTTATCGAAATCACCACTTAGAGTTACTACAGCTAATAGGGTCTATGTCCCCTAGGGTACTGCCGGAACGTACCCTGGGTACGGTCCGGTATACCGGAACGTACCCTGGTAACTATCTAATATGCCGGACCGTACCTTGCCTACTTCAAACCGCACCCTGACTTTCAGCCGATGTCGTAATACCATCTTTTAGGTACCTTTAGGTACCTTAGGTATCTTTTACATAGCGCGTTTTCTGCTTGTTGGCAGGAAACGCGCCGCTTTATGCTCCCGTTCCTTGTTTCCGGTCCGTTCCCGCAAAATATTCGTAACCCTTACCCTGTTACATTTCACCTCCCGACCCTTTCTACAAGTGTCAGCGAGTCTATACGTTTCCAACCCATTAAGATAATCATGCAAATTTTCCTGTTCCACCACAGCCATCTTTCAAAAATCTCGCGCAAAAATGCGCGAAAATGTCGTAAACATTGCGAAAGGAAAACGCATTCCCGATCATCGCGATATTTGCAAAATGATTGCGCGCATCAGTGTATATAAGTTGAAATTTCTTCTTGGTTTCACAGTTTCATACTCCAATTCAACTTTATAAAGATATCATACAGGTCTGTATGTATATTTCAAATTTTGCGACATCAGTATAGTGGGCGGAACAGGGACAGTCAAGGTACGGTAGGGAGTAAGCGAGGTACGATCCGGCATATCACATAGTTACCAGGGCACGTTCCGGTATACCGGACCGTACCTAGGGTACGTTCCGGCAGTACCCTGAGGGACATAGACCCTATCAGCGTTACGCCACGGTATTTTGGACGGTTTACACGATACACGACGACGGTCACATTTTTCAGAACTGGGGACTAGATCTCGACCAAAAACCATGACTTGTTGGCACTGTCGATAGAGATGCCTGAATCACCCGCTGATTATTATATAGCACTACTTTTTTTAAATTGTTTTAAGAGGCTTCCCAGGTACCCCCATGGGGTACTAGTACCCCCGGTTGGTAACCAGCGGTCTAGACGTATTTGTGCAACAGCTGATGAGTCAGAACACGGTCGGGGTCAATGTCTAAGGGTCTGCAATGCTTGTACGGCCCAATAATGTCACGAATTACGTAAATGTCACGAATGGGAGGGGGGGCGGCGCACTCTCCATATATATATATATATAAATAATTAAATATATTATATATATTATAAATTTGTCATTATTAACCCCTGATTATATATATATAGATATATATCCCCGGGCCCTTTATAAAGAATGAAAGCTCCATATGATAGATGATCCATTAGATTCCTTTCTGCACATCAGCATGCGGTTCGTGAGCCCACTCTCTCGATTCAATAAATGTCAGGTGCACGAACCGCACTTACAATCGAACCTTGGTCTTCTCCTCCGGGCAAGGGGGGAGGGGTGAGTTCAGGTGATGAGCGACCGTCCGCTTCGCTGCATGTGAGTTATGTTTAACCAGACTTGCCTGGCAACTCGCTCCCATCCCCCTCCCCCCTTCCCCTTCCCCCGCTATCCCGCATCCACAGTGCAGGCGATGGGCGGGTTCATGGAAAATTCAGTGAAAATAAACTTCTTTAATCAAAACAGTGAATACGCCTGTTTAAATCTCGCTCTCGATATGAAAAAAATATGCACCGTCTGGGCAGGCGTCTGCCGAATCCGCTTTGTGTGCTCACGTCACTCTCTCGGCCCGGGCGTGTAGGGGTATCAGCTCGTTCGTCCGTCTGTTTGGCACGTGGGTGGGTATACCGTTAGCACAAACATATCCCGAGCGTCTGGCACGTCATAACACCATCCCGCCGTCGAATCTCTACCCGGAATTTACAGAAATAAAACCACGGATCGTTGAAAATACACTCCTAGATCCGGCAAAATGAAGCTGGAAATTTCCCCGTTGGCTATAGGAAGGGTACCATCCCACAGCAGCGGGAGCACCGGGTCGGTCTCCGTAAAATTATAATCAAGGATTGACGCAGTGACTAATATATTACATAGTATGTACATGAACTGCTATATATAACATTCATATAAAACGTGCACAGATATGCGTACATATAATTATTATTGTATTTCTTCATTATCTATATTATGTACTTTATATACAATGTATATATTATTAGTATTATGAACTTCCTACGCTCCCGGTGAGGGTGACTACATAAACGGAAGACGAGACAACAAACAAGACTTAGTGTTATCAGGAGTAAGATATTATAGGATATATCCTAATAATCCTATAAGGATATATAATATATAAGGATATATAAGGATATATATAAGGATATATAAGATAATCCTATATTATCTTACTCCTGGTGTTATCTATATGTGTTGCGATATTCTATTACAATAGA